TAACCCAGTAAATGTCCAAATTTGGAAAGAGCTACTTATAGAAAAATTATATCCCTTTGTGTTAGATTTCCAATTCACTTTTAATTTCCTTAATTGGACATCGAAAATAAAGTTATTGTCAAAATACTGAAAATAGTCGTACAGAATATTCTAACCGAAAATTTAGTTTCCTTTTTCGGTTCAACCTCTTTTGGAAACAACTTGGCATACTATTTTAAGCCCTAGACTAGATAGAGAACGTCTATCTTCACCTCCATAACAATTTTCTCTCATCTTGGGCTAAAGAATTTGATGGAGAACTAAATTCCTAGGTGAAGCTACAAAAGAACTCATTGGATTTGGCGACTTCACATAATTTATTCATGCAAATTGATATTTTTATTGTCAAACACTTCTAGATCTAGACTATCTTTTATGAATTTACTTTGAAATTGATTTAACTTTTACTACATTCTTCATAGATTCAATCATGTTTTGTCTATTGTGGAATTGAACTAATTGTTGAATTTCAATTTCAATCAACTTTATTAGTGGATTATTTACTGCTTTATGCATTGTGTATATAGTCGATTCTTAATCTTAGTCCAATAAATATGTGTGGGAATGGTTTAAAAAAGTCTAAATCCTAATATTACAATTGAAATTTGATTGAACTTCATTGTTAAATCTTCCGATTAGAGAGTTGGGATGAAAACCTCTAATTGAGCAAAACCCCATGAATTATTGATGTTAATGATCCAATCCAATTAAAGGAATTCAGATGCTTCGCATATGGATAATTAAATATCATTCTAATTGACAAATTATTTTCACATAATTCATGAAATCCTAGTTCAATAAATTATTTAAACAATTCGTCCATCTCCCTGTGGAATCGACACCCCAAAGCTGTGCTACAACTATCGTGTTATTCTTTGGGTGTATTCAGGTTGCAAGTAATCACGCATAGTTCGTGCTTTTTGGTTTTCATTTTCATCATGTACGCTTTCATTATCAGCCATGGTGGAAGATGTGAGTGAGTGTTGAGGTAAGTCAAACAAATTAACAAAAGAAAGTTTCACAATTATCTTTAACTAAACGATCAAAATTAAATATGCGATACCAATATGACAAAATAACATAAACTAGATGTAAAGAACGAAAATTAGATGGCACGGCCAACCATATAATAAAGAAAAGGCAGTTCGAGAGGCTCGGCCTTCCCTTTAAAGAAAGAAAATAAACAGAAAATAAAAAAAATGAAGGAGGCTTGGCCTTCTTTTAAAGTAAAATAACTAATGTAGTAAGATCGAAAAAGGAACGAGTGTATCTAATTTATGAAGATTATGAAAGAGAAGAAAACCTCACAAAAAGTAGTAGAAAATAATCCTTGATGCAAATCCCCGGCAATGGCACCAAAAACTTGCTACAGATTTAAGGTGGAAAACCCAAGTGCAAGTTGTCTCAAGTAGTAAATTCGGAAGTCCGAGGTCGAACCACAGGGAATTGGAAGGAAATAAACTAGTTTATGAGTAGTGAAGATTGGTGGAAATACGATGGAGAAGAACACTAGAGCATTGGGGATTCACTTCGGATAAATGAGTAGAAATTACTCTTGATCTTTTATTTAACTCATATGAAATATGGAAGATAAAACATTGATCGCAAATATACTAAAAGATAGTTCTTGATAATTGTTTGAAATAATATGTCAAAATAAGTTGTTGATATATAGAGATTATCTAAGCATTTATTGTGCCAAAATTGTCAAAAATAAATCAAAGTCTTTAACAAACCAAAACTATTTGTAGAACATGTACTTCAACCATGTAAGAAGAGGAACATTGAAGAACAAAGTGAAAGATCAAAGACAATACTACACATTCACCAAAATTTCACCCTTAACTCTAGCTAATGGTTTAAAAATACATAATGAAGGAAACTAGAATATGATGAAGAGGAATTGATGCTCTCAAAATCTTGGCCAAGTTTCCCTTTCATAGGCAAAGGAACATCCAAAATGCAAGTGGACAATGTAACTTATTTCTATCCAGTTTCAAAACAGCTAGAACATGCGACTTGATGCAAATTTTCAGATACTTTGTGCAGAAAATTTGAACTTATGATCAAAGATAAATTGTTACCACTTGAGTTAGCTTTCCATTGGTGCAAAAATCAAGTCCATTGGATCTCAATAACTCAGATATGGCCAAAACAATGAGTGATGCTTCATAGGTAGAAAAGCTGTATCCGGCAGGTAACAAGTTGGACTCTGCGTGGTAATTTTGGCCACTTTATGATGCGAATTTGACTTCTTGGTAAACATGAAAATTGTAGATACATATCTTATCTTTCCAATACAACTTGAATCACCTTGTTTTGATAGCTATAGCTCGAGTTATTGCCATTTTATCGAGATGGTTGTATCTTGCTCAAGACAGCTAATCATTTTTTACTTTTCAACATCTTTTCTCCACTTGCTCCACTTGTTCTACCTTGGAAATACATGTGAAATACATCAAATAAATACTCTTTCAAAAGTATAATACTCATGCCAACATGTATTTAAATACGTATTTCAATTAATTGTACTTTTTGCCATGTATTTATTGAAACTGAATTTACAGCAATAGAATTGAAATTAGAGACTAACATTAGTGTTTTTAAACAAAGTGAATATAAAATGCCTTATAAATGATATATCTTTAAAGCAGTTTTAGACACTAATCAATTCCTTAGAGGCATTTGCTCATGATGAACAGTATTTTTTACATCGTACAAAAGATCCAAGGATCTCATGAGTTGCGCGAGATGATTGGCAATGAATATATGGCGAAACTGAACTGAAATGTTGAGCAAGTCATGACTAGCTATCAAGTCTCGACTTGTAACAAGTTATTGTCTTGTTTTCAATAGGACTTACTTTATGTTAGTTGGTGCTTTTATTCTCAAGTGTCGAAAGGTGCAATAAGGAAAAGATTTAAGGCCTTTGATTTCCTGTATGAAGGATCCAGAAATTTCACTCAAACTCGATAGTACACAATTTGGAGCTCCGAGACAAGCTTCGTGTGTCCATGGTTGACAAGCTGATTCTAGCATATAAGGAATTCCTACACTAGTTCAGGACATATATTGAGATTGAGCAGAAAAGTGAAACACAAACGAAATGCTTTCAAAAAATAAATGTAAAGCATTCAGTTGAGGATCTTGAGGCTTTGATCTCAAAGCATTTGTTTTCATATAATGAAATTTGAAGTCACATAATCAAATTTGCTAGCCTTGCAAGCTAATGAAGTCACATCACATTTTCAAACTTATCAACTAGTTCATGAAAAAATGGATAGAAATAGCAACTTGATGCAAGACATTAGAGCTTAATCTGTTTGAACAATGTGATGGTCTATTTTGTCTCCCATTTTCATCTCACCTATGAAGTCACGAACGTCCTCACTAAACGTTGGCTCGTCAACTTGGCTAATTACCTTGTTTATCCAAATTTATGGGTAATATTCTTGCAATGACAGGGCCGGACTTGATAATTCGGGGGCTTTATGCCAATTTATTCTTACAGAAAAATTTAATATAATTATACAGAATTTAATACGAACAACTAAGTTTGAAAATTTGATGAGGAAAATAATAAAATATCAAATTTCAACATGCAATACAAACTATAAGCAAAGTTTGGCAAATGGAAATATAATGCAATGATAAAGTGGTCTATTCATTTCTTTGATCATTTTCTCACTGCAACTGTTTAAACAAAATTGAATATGAATTTGAGTGATTAATGTACAAAATAAGAGAGTGTTGACCGCAAGAGATAGTGTAACAAAATAATGAAAATGACGATAAAATACAAATGAGCTTTTAATTTTATATTAATTCATAAAAAATTGACTTACAAATAAGAAGTATGAACACAAACAAAGAATTATTAAATTCAAAATGAAACATCTAAAAAGGCTATTATCATGAGATTAAACCAAAATAATAATAATAACAACAACCTTGTACTGTGCAGTATATGTTTTGAAGATAAGGGGAGAAAGAAAGAAACCTATAAGGCTGTAACAATGGCAGTAAGACCAAATCAATCTAGTAAATTGAATCTTCAAAATTTTAGTTCAAATGGAGATAATTTATTTCTTGGTAGGTTGAAAAAATTATGGTGGTTTACTGTTTGATGTAAAATTTGAAGAGACAATGAAACATTTTGTTTTGTTAAGAAAGAAAGTGAATGTTTGGACAATAAATAGTCAAATAGTTATAGAAAGAGAAAGTAATGTTTGTAATATATTTATGTGATAAATAAATGTAAGTGATAAGTTCTATGTCATTTATACATTTTTAAAAATTTTTGTATTTTCAATTTTTATTAATTTCTTGTTTTTTCATATGATTGTTTTATTTTAAAGAATTTCATACATAGATTTTTTATTTTTCTTCAATCAACCAATTAATCTTACATAATTTGGGGCTTTCGCCAAAGTGAGGCCTTAGACAATCGTCTACTCCGTCTATAGTCAGAACTGCCATTGTGCAATGGGAACACATTTGTGGGGAAAAAGGAAATGTATCTTGGAGTTTCTCTAATTTTATTTTTTATTGACTCGATATTTTCCAACAATTACATATGAAGTTCCTCTCAAACGCGGCAATTCAAGTCTTCCATCTTTTATTTAGATTTAGGGACCATCTAGATATTTTGCCACCAGTACTTTCTCAAGAACACAAGATACAACCATTTTCATTACCACACAAATTTACAAGTTGGAATTTTGAACTAGAAATTTTTCTACCATTTGTAACAGTTCGATCGAAGGTCTATTGGCATAGTGACTTTAACAATATCACACCAATCAGCTGTTGATACAATCTATCATTGGCATCATAGACTAGTTGAACAACTAATTTTCAACCTTAGTGAATGTCAAATAACTCGATACCTAGAAGCTGTCGACAAAATCCAGCAGTTCCCCGCAAACGTAACAAAATCTGGTGACCTGAACTCCATAGCCATGGCTCGGCTCAAGCACGAGTTTCTGACAATGCTCATAAGACAATCTGAACCGTTTGGCACTGTTGATTCAATTACCTCTGATTGGAGTTCATTGGCCAGTACTGCATACGAGGATTATTTATTAGCATACAATTCACCAAGTGATGAGGTGATTTTTTATCTCAGGCATGTCGCAAAAAGATTAAATTCCAACAGACACCTTGGAGATTGCATCAAAGTTCACAAAAGTGTGAGGAAATCCTTTTTCCACACATTGATAAAACAGCTTCACTTGGAAGGATTGTATAGAGGTGGGAATGAAAAGAGGTTTCTAAGTACCTTCAAGAAAAAGAGGTTTTTATGGGAAGAGTTGAAGGTGAAAATTGAACGGTGGATTCAAGTGGCTAGGTTGTGTTTTTGTTACTTCTTTGACTGGGAGAAACAAATTAGTGAGAAATTATTCTCTGGTTTTGGAAATGGGGCTAGTGAAGAATGTTTTTGGGAAATAGTGGGAGATTCTACAAATAATTTACTTGTTTTTGTAGAAACACTGAGTTCCAGTAATCAGTCCTCAAAGAGGACGGAAACAATTTTAGGCCTATATGATACACTGTTGATTCTTTTATAATACATAGATATCATGTTCGACTTCCACGCAGCAGAGGCTATTCGACAAGGCATGAAGGTGACATTGTCTTAAGTTGAGAATAATATAAGAAGGATGTTATTAGATTTTGAGAAAGCTGTTTTTGGTGAGCTTTCGCCTATACAAGATAAAAGGGGTGCCACTCATTCATTGACAAAACGCGTGATGAATTATATCTCTCTCATTGTATGCAATAAGGAGCTCCTCACAGACTTGATCATATCAATGCCACCATTGAAATTTGGGGATCAACTGGATCTTAAAGGCAAAAGTCATTTGGCTCTTCATTTTATTTTGATCATTGTGGTCTTACAACTGAATTTGAAGGGAAAATCAGAGCAGCTCAATCATGTCTCTTTAAGGCATTTGTTCATGATGAACAATGTTCATTACATTGTAGAAAAGATCGAAGAATCCAAGGAGCTACGACAGATTATTGGTGATGATTATATGGAGAAACTGTATAGGAATGTCAAGCAAGCAATGACTAGCTATCAAGTTTCAACTTGTGACAAGTTCTTGTCTTGTTGTCAAGAAGAGGGACTTTATGTTACTTGGTGTTTTTCTACTCGTGTGTCAAAACCTGCATTGAGAAAAGGATTGAAGTCCATTAATTCTGTGTTTGAAGAGATTCAGACACTTCAGACGAACTGGATAGTACATGATTCAGAGCTCCTGAATAAACTTCGTGCGTCCATGGTTGACAAGTTGATTCCAGCATACAAGAAATTCCATGCTGAAATTTAGAAGCACAGGGAAATACAAAAGAAATGCTTTCAGAAAATAAATATAAACCGTTCAGTCTAGGATCTCGAGGCATTGTTCTCAAAGAATCATTTTCAAATTAGGAAATCAAATAGTTGTTAAACACCTATTATGTCATTATATTTGTCACCAATTTTATCTCTATCTATTTATGATTGTAAATTATGTTGGTCTTGCATTAACATGTTTGGACGTGACAATTAGATAGCACTGGACAATATTATAGTGCTAGACAATATTGCAATCATCACTTGAAAATTTCTAAGATTCCTTATTACTACATATGAAGCTTCCTATCAAAACGCAATAATTGAAGTCTTCCTCCTTCAAAGTCTTCCTTTGGGCACCCACATGGAAATTTCCAATCTCTTACCAGGAAAATCAATGGTTGAATTTTTTAGCACTAAAAAATAACTCTCTCTCTCTCTCTTCCTTTGGGCACCCACATGGAAATTTCCAATCACTTACCAGGAAAATCAATGGTTGAATTTTTTAGCACTAAAAAATAACTCTCTCTCTCTCTCGTTTCACTTTTCATTTAAGTGACAAAAAGAAAAAGAAAAATCAAAATCAAAATCCATCCCTGTTTGTCTAATCTCTTGAGCCAATTTCACTCTCTCTCTCTCTCGTTTCACTTTTCATTTAAGTGACAAAAAGAAAAAGAAAAAGAAAAATCCATCCCTGTTTGTCTAATCTCTTGAGCCAATTTCACTTGCTTTTTGTTCAATCTGTTGTCATCTTCAACCATGGCTGAAGCAATGATAACTGTAATGTTAACACAATTGGCTGAAATCACGGAAGAACAGATCCGAAAGCAGGTGAGATTAGTTGTGGGGGTCAAAAAAGATATCGAAAAACTCACCAGCGGATTGGAATCCATCCGATCTGTGCTTGTTGATGCTGAAAAGAGACAAGTGAAGGATGAATCAGTCAAATTGTGGTTAGAAAAGCTCAAAGACTTAGCCTATGACATGGACGATGTGTTGTCTGAATGGTTAACTGCAATCCGAAAGGCGAAAACTGAAGGTGTTGAAGATTCATCCCTTTCCAAGAAAAAGGTATGGTCTTTTATCTCTTTACCTAGCCTTCGATTTAGGCGATTTGCCCTACGTCGTGACATAGCTCTCAAGATTAAGGGCATTAAGGAAAGACTCGACGTTATTGCCACCGAGAAGAATAGGTACAATTTTAATACGTTAACGGAGAGTGGTGATCCTGAGAGATTAAAAACTAACTCTTATATTGATGTATCTGAAGTACGAGGTCGAGATGTGGATAAGAATACTCTTGTAAGCAAGTTGTTGTCTGAGAGTAGCCAAAGTGATGGATTCCATGTTGTTTCTGTAGTCGGCATGGGGGGAATTGGTAAAACAACTCTAGCACAAATGGTTTACAATTGTGATTCTGTAGAGCAAGATTTTGAGAGAAAAATGTGGGTATGTGTTTCTGAGCCTTTTGATGAAGTTCGAGTTGCAAAAGCGATTGTTGAAGACCTTGAAGGTAATGCTCCGTTTTTATATGAACTTGAAACTGTATTGCGCCGTCTTAGGAACGCTATTTCAGGAAAGAAGTTCCTGCTTGTGCTAGATGATGTGTGGACAGATGACTACAGGAAATGGGAACAATTGTTCAACTCTCTCAAAATTGGTGCATCTGGAAGTAAAATTCTAGTGACGACGAGAAACGAGAGAACCGCAAAAATGTTGAGAAGTAGCTATGAGCTTCATTTGGGGCAGTTGGCAGACGAGGACAGTTGGTCGCTATTCAGTCAAATAGCGTTTTTTGAAAGAAGTATAGAGGATTGTGAAGAATTGGAAGGAATTGGAAGGAAAATAGCTGACAAGTGCCGGGGCATACCTCTTACTGTAAAGACTATTGGCAGTCTTATGCGGTTCAAGAATTCTTTACAAGATTGGCAGAATGTTCTGAATAGTGAATTCTGGGAATTTGAAGGAGCAGAAAAAGGTCTCTTTCCTCCTTTGATGTTGAGCTACTTCGATTTGCCCTCGACAATGAAAAGGTGCTTTTCGTTTTGTGCTTTCTTTCCAAAACATCACGTCATCAACGCAAGCAATTTGATCAAACTCTGGATGGCGCAAGGCTATCTCTGCCCTGAGAAAAATGTAGAAATGGAAGTATTAGGTGAGGAATACTTGCAAAATTTGGCTATGAGGTCTTTCTTCCAAGAGATAGAAAAGGACAAGGACGGTAAAAGGATTTTAAGATTTAAGATGCACGACATGGTTCATGATTTTGCGCAGTATCTTACCAAGAGAGAATGTTCTGTGGTGGAGGTTGATGGGGAGCTAGCAGTAAATTTGGGATCGTCTTATAAAACGACTCGTCATTTGACCCTGGTACGTGCAAAAGGCGTCCGTTTTCCTACATCCATTGCTAATGCGGGAAAACTACACTCGTTTTGGGTTCAATCTTTCTTTGATACGCCTCCAATTATCAGTGAATTGGACAAGATTGAGCCAGATTTATGCAATCGCTCGGCATGTCTCAAGGTGTTAGATTTAAGTCGTAACAGGTTGGGTGAACTTCCAAAAGAAGTTGGGAAGTTGATTAGCTTGAAGTTCCTCAACTTATCCCATAACCCATTCTGGCAATTGCCTTCAACATTGTGGATGTCTTAAAATCGAAGGATTGGGTTACGTGACAAATGCTGACGAGGCCCGGATAGCAGAGTTGAGTGAAAAGAAACATATTTCGGACTTGCACCTTGACTTCAATTCTAAGGCTCAAACAGGCAACCAAGACGAAGTGATTGAAGCTCTTCAGTTGCACCCTGGGTTGCAATCTTTAAAAATAAGTTCATATGGAGGCACACGATTCGCCAATTGGATGGTAACTTTAACCAGCCTGAAAGATCTTTCACTTCAAGAGTGCCAAAATTGCACAATTTTGCCTCCTCTTGGAAGGCTTCCGTCCCTGGCAACTCTACATATAGGTGGTCTGCATAATCTGAAATCTCTTGGGCTCGAATTTTTGGGTGCAACAGACAATGTGAATGATCAAATCACAACAGATAGCAAAGACAGATCATTGGCATTATCATCAGCTGAAAATATTGCATTCCCAAAGTTGAATAAACTGAAATTTTCAAACATGGGAAGTTGGGAAGAATGGAACATGATCAGAGCTGCAAATGAACACATCAAGATCATGCCTAGACTCCGCTTTTTGAAACTTTACAACTGCAGCAATCTGAAGGCACTGCCGCATCTTCTCTTCAAGGCAGCACCATTAAGGAAGTTGCATATCCAGAATTGTCCGCTCATACAGCAGAAATACAAGAAGGAAACTGGAGACCAATATTGGATTAGTATTTCCCATATCCCAAAGCTCAAAATATCGTAGAAGTCTTGTGCAAATTGTCTAGTGTAGCTTGCTTCTTGTTTATTGCTTCTTGTTTATCTTTCTGCCTTTGCCTTCGTTGAGTTATGCTTCATAAACAGTGTCTTCTGTTAGCTAATCTTTTTATGCTATTTTGCTAATTTATAGCATTCTGGACTCTCTCTTTTCAATCTATTAGATTTGAGTTCGAGTTTGAGTTTACCAAACAAACCAATATATTTTTCGAAGGAAGCACTAATATGGATGAGAAACATGTTCTCAAATGCAAATTGCAAGCATTAGTCTGTGTCACAAGTTGAAAAAATGTTTCACTTTGACAATCAAGTTAGCTGTGATTTCTGATAAACAGTGAAAAGTGTAACGCGACTTACTTGACAGAATTTCAGTTTATGTTGGAAACGTGGATGCGAAATCAAACCAATGACCACTATATTATATTGAAGTCCCCAAATAAATGAAGAAACAGGACAGTAAGTAGTCCATGTGTGCTATATGAAGACTACTAGCCTCTCAGAAAATTCCATTCTAACTCTTCTTTAGAAATTTCATCCCCAAACACAATTTAGGTTACCAAACTTGTTGAACAGAAAATATAACTGATGTGGGTATTTTCTAGCTTAAACTATCAAAAGTGATTATGGGTATAGCTTATTCAAAATAAGTTTTTAAGGCTCATTATATGTTAAAAAGTCAGATATACCCTTATTTATATTCCAAGTCTATATTTGATGGTCATTATTGAGAAAAAAAAAAATTATGTTTTGAATAGTGATTTTTTTAAGAATGCGTGGTTAAAAAGTAGAGAAAATTTTTGAATTCAATATTTATTGTATAAATCTATGGTTGAAAATGAGCATGAAAATTATAAAATTTTATTTTAAAGGGAGACAAAATGGCTAAAAGTGTCGTAAATGCTATTGACTCGAAATGACATTATACCATTATGTGTTTAGAAATGGACATTTACACCATTAGAACTGTTCTTTGTGTTGAAAATTTGAAAAATCCCTAACAATAAACTACTTCTGCTTCCATTCTTTTCTTTCTTTGTATTTAAACTAATAGAACTAGTATCTTGCCCTTAGTGTGCAGGATATTAGTTGCCACATCAATGGTACAACACACTTCCTATTTTTTGACTCTCTCCTAAAACCCAACCACCCCCTTCCTATTATTTTTTAGCCACATTTTTCCTTTCATTCGTCTCTCTGAGATCATTTTGGGCCCCCCCCCCCCATTGTTGGACTTCGCCTTCACCCTCGTCCTCGTCAACATTTGCTAGTGCACACAGTAATATTACTAAATTGTCCATTTTCCTCTCCCCAACTCCTTCTGTAGGGTTTTAATACCCAATAAATCCCTTGTGATGAAGTAAATTGTCGAAATACATTTTCATATGCCTCAATCAATGGTGAATTGATTATCAACAACCAAGCCTAAAGGCTCGACCCGAAAATAACGTAGACATTTGGAAGTAGCTTAAGACATGGCACACATATTTACCTATTGGCTATTGGACGGCTATTAGATCTTGGCCCATTCAACCCCTTTATTGGTCTAACTTAAGTCTAACTTATTATGATATATTTATAGATGTTTCTTGACCTAGCCTTTGTGGCATGTGTGTAGAGATGAAAAAAAGGTCCTCTTGCTGGGAAAAATTGGCTGCCTTGCTTGAAAGAAAAATCGGTGACTATCTTTGCGTCTTTGGCCTCAATCTTGTACCTCCTTCCATCATTTGACTCGTGCCTTTATTTCTTGCAAATCAACACTGTTATTTTGTCCTTTATAGGTGAGATTGAAAAGCAACCGAGATAAATATATTAATTATGAGTCGGAGCCATTTGGATTGGTTGTTTGGTAAAGAATGATAACGTGAAACTGAACTCGAAAATCATCGTTTCGAATATCTTTGAGCAAGCTTCTGTAATATTGGAGCTTCAAGATAGTGGATTTGGCTAAAAAATCTGACCAGAAAAAGTGGCAGAATCGAAGTAAAAAAATAAAAAATAAAAAAAATAAAAAATTGTCTAATTTTTTTTTTTTTAAATCGAGGTTGTTTATGCAATTTTAGGCCAAATCAAAATGAGTTTAATGAAATGGAGATCATAAACATGATTGCAGGAGGAGGCGTATCAGGGTGGTTGACAGGTGAGTCAGTCCGATGGTGCACGAAATCATGCGCAGAGACTCCAAGGGTGTGTAGGTGTGTACGACAGTTTATGGCGACGCTGTCTTCGGGAAGTTTGTTCCTGACATTATTTCTAATATTCTGGTGTTAGTTTTTTATTTCAGGTTATACGGTGAAATGTGGACGATTTCATCCTTTACGCGTTTGGGATTCGATTGTGTTTGATTGGTTGCTACAGTTGTTGAAGAGTTTAAGGCGAATAATGACGATCCTAAAGTGGTAAATTCGTATCTTTCATTATTTATGGATTGCAGATTGATCCATTCTGATATATTGACTTATCCCATTTAAATTTAAGTATTAGCGAGCACAACAACAAAAATGCCTTTTTGCAACATGTAAAAGGCAACATTCATTAATTAAAATTGCTAAGGATCTATTGTAACATTCTAATAAATGAATGTTGTCATTGGTGTTAATAATTGAGATTTGACAATATTTTTTAAGTGAATGTTGCTAATGTCGCCTTTTAACAACGTTTATTTAGTGTTGCGAATTTTTTATCTTCACAACATTTATCAAATGTTATAAAAAGAGAAATCTTTAGTAAGTTTATCAAATGTTGCGAATTTCTATTTTGCAACGTTTAATAAACGTTGAGAAATGCCAAATTTTTTTTTTATATTTTTTAACAATATCGCCAATCCCGGCCAGCCAAGAAGTGAAGCCCATTTATTAGGCCAGTACTATACCGAATCACCATTTATATGAACGACTTCAACCCATTCCATCCAGTCAAATTCAGTCCGATTCCATACTACGTCTCTGCCACTGCCTCTGCCTCTGCCTCTGCCGCCGCTTACTCCTAGTTTCGGCTCCGCTGTCTCCGCCTCGTCCTCCCAGAGCCGGACTTCCCATTTTCCGCCTCCTACTCCTTTCAGTTAACAAAATGAAAATCCATTTGTGGAAAGCGTGAAGTCCCTTTATCCTCCCAAGCCAATTCCTGTCTCGAACCCTTTGTGTCTGAACCCAGAAACGTGAAGAAGGAAATTCCCAAATCAATTGGCCAAGCTCCATCCCTAATCCCCCAAATGACTATGAAATTTATCCAAGCTCCATCGGAACCCTAAGCCCCAAATCAAGAAAATCAATTACCCAAGTTCCCTCGTCGACCACTCGGAGAGGCCAACCCAAGCGTCAAGAAGCGGCACCCATTTCATTTCTGTACTTCGAGCAAGGACTAGTGGGCTTGCACATGAACGGACTCGTTTATCCAATAAAACTTTATCACTATTTTGGTTCTAATACCAACTAAGTTGCTGTTGATTTGATTTGTCATGTTTGCTTGGACTATTGGAATTCACTGGTTTTAGAGCTGTTTGAAGCACATCATAATCAGGACAATCCTGCAGCAGCCACAAACATGATGAGATTGCAGGTGCAATAGATTATTTTAGTCCCTTCTCATCTTTTTCTCTTGTTTTAGATCTTTGAATATGATCAATCCATCTTTGTTTCCTGAGTGAGGTTGAAAGTCATAATCCTGTTTTCCTGTTGGTTATATGATACATATAGTTTCCAGTTTTAAAGTTGAAGACTTTGAAGGACTAGTTCTCCCAGGTAAATTGTTTAAATAGTGTTTTCTTGTTGTGCGTGTCCTTGGATGACTGCCCAATGAAAAGAAAATGAAATAAGTGATAAATTTAAGTAGGTTTCTCAGAATGGATCTGAATATTGAGAAGTGTAGAGATTCAATTGCTATTATGTGATGGTTATCATGAAGATACCATGGTATGAGGAGCGTAAACTATACCTAAGAAAGAAAGCTGTGTATATCATTGCTAGTAATAAAGCGCCAATCATGCAGTGTAATTCTCATAAATTTTCTCTTCTCCTAAAGCTATTGCTAGTGAATTTGGTCAGCTAACGATTATGGCTCCTTAGAAATTGTCTGGCACTTTTGAAGAATTGCACAGCAAATCTCTGGATAGTGAATTCCTGTCTCGAACCCTTTGTGTCTGAACCCAGAAACGTGAAGAAGGAAATTCCCAAATCAATTGGCCAAGCTCCATCCCTAATCCCCCAAATGACTATGAAATTTATCCAAGCTCCATCGGAACCCTAAGCCCCAAATCAAGAAAATCAATTACCCAAGTTCCCTCGTCGACCACTCGGAGAGGCCAACCCAAGCGTCAAGAAGCGGCACCCATTTCATTTCTGTACTTCGAGCAAGGACTGGTTGGCTTGCACATGAACGGACTCGTTTATCCAATAAAACTTTATCACTATTTTGGTTCTAATAACAACTAAGTTGCTGTTGATTTGATTTGTCATGTTTGCTTGGACTATTGGAATTCACTGGTTTTAGAGCTGTTTGAAGCACATCATAATCAGGACAATCCTGCAGCAGCCACAAACATGATGAGATTGCAGGTGCAATAGATTATTTTAGTCCCTTCTCATCTTTTTCTCTTGTTTTAGATCTTTGAATATGATCAATCCATCTTTGTTTCCTGAGTGAGGTTGAAAGTCATAATCCTGTTTTCCTGTTGGTTATATGATACATATAGTTTCCAGTTTTAAATTTGAAGACTTTGAAGGACTAGTTCTCCCAGGTAAATTGTTTAAATAGTGTTTTCTTGTTGTGCGTGTCCTTGGATGACTGCCCAATGAAAAGAAAATGAAATAAGTGATAAATTTAAGTAGGTTTCTCAGAATGGATCTGAATATTGAGAAGTGTAGAGATTCAATTGCTATTATGTGATGGTTCTCATGAAGATACCATGGTATGAGGAGCGTAAACTATACCTAAGAAAGAAGGCTGTGTATATCATTGCTAGTAATAAAGCGCCAATCATGCAGTGTAATTCTCATAAATTTTCTCTTCTCCTAAAGCTATTGCTAGTGAATTTGGTCAGCTAACGATTATGGCTCCTTAGAAATTGTCTGGCACTTTTGAAGAATTGCACAGCAAATCTCTGGATAGTGATCAAAGGTAAGATAGTTCTTACGAGAATTAGCTGATGCCTGATTTTTGTATTGAATTATCAGATGTTTTCGGCTATGGTTGACTCACAAATCATGCAGAGGCGACAACTTTATGTTTTTCCAATGTCGAAGTTGAGATTGCTTACAATATGTTGCATGGAGAAGCCAGGAGAAGTTATGATTGTTGAAGATGAAAAGGGAAATACAGTTCGTGAAACTACAATGATATCCTCCTGCAATACAAGGTTCTCATTCTTATTGAAAAGAAGATTGATTGGAAAAGCTAAAAAAGGTGAAATATGTTTTTAACATCAATAATTAATCAATGCATACTATTTACACGAATAGTAATATTGAAGGAGATCTCCACGTCCACTTGTTCAAATTTTTTAGCAAACTTTTTCAATATTACCCAAACAAGCACATCATGATGCACCACTAGACTCACCCTCAAATCGCACATGTTCATTTTCGCCAGATAAAACATTGCCCCACTTGAAATGCCCACCATCATTACTACAATAGAAGGATAGCTTAAAGTTAGGGTTTAACCTTTTTTTTTTTTTTTTTTTATACAATAGAAGGATAGCCATCCCATGTTTGCAGTCTTCTTGTCTACCTCCGTACATTTCAAAATTTCATCTTTTCTACCTCCATGCATTTCACAAATCCCATGCCGTATCTTGGGCATCATTTCTTTATCGGGCATTCTGACAGGTAGTGCCTTGGTTTCCTACAACTATTACAATTATCCTTGTTTTTCATTGTTATTGAAAACTGCAATTGCAGACACAAATCAATTATTCCAAAATAAATTTTTTTGACTAACTAAATTTATGTATTACAGATTATTTCAATATCCTTGACCAATCATCCTTGCTTGTAAATATGAGAATTATGCATTCTTATTTAATAACCCCATTAACCTAGTGGTTCTTGAATTTTATCAATGGAAAGTGGCAGCTCAGAAAATGAAACATTTTTGAATGAAGAAGTTTCCAGCCCCTGAATTGACAAATACAAAATTAACCCCAATGTAATTCTTCATTATCAAAAATGATAGATTGAAGTTAGTTATTAAAAAATAATAATAAGAAAAAAAAAGGAAATGTATACAACCCTTTGCATAGTAAAATTAACGTTCAAACAAAAATTTGATAATTGAAATGGATTAAATTTACCTTTAATGCACAGTTCCTTCAGAACCTATTTGGCTTCAAACATTACTCAGTGAGCTCCAAGTTGCCTGAGCTTTGGACACCATACGAGCTGAGAAAATGGACTCTCAAATTTGGGACTACCGTAGCAGAAATGCAAATGAGAAGGTAACTTGCACCGACAAATAAATGAATTCAATTTCCTCCCGATCGAAGATGGGGTTTCTATTGTTGTTATTGCAGAATCAAATTCACTTGGGGTTAGGGTTAGTGGTAATTTTTGGGATTTCAAAGTCATAGGAAATACGATATATTGATTGGAAGTCATGTTTTAATTGATGACATGGCCTTAACATGGCTGAGGACTTTACTATTGGAGGGAATTAACATACCAACTCATAATTTTGCCATCCACGCATCAATTTAAACGGAATCCACCTGGTGAGTAATAGAGTAGGACGGAGCGAAGTTTAGTGGCTAATGGAATGCTTAAGAAAGTTCGGTGAGTAAGTCGTGACAAGGTGCAAATTTCGGTGACCATTAAAATATTTCACTCCATGATTTTTAGGTTTCTTTTTAAACAGTGGTAGGAGTCTGAACTTTCTCAACAATAGGTACAGTAGGTGGTGTATCCTTCTTAGGCAGGTCAGGACTGACCTCCTTATCTGTAGCATCTTCAAATTCTACTTTGACTTCCTTATACCCATGATATTAGTCTGTCTATTTTTCTTTGTTATCCCCTTCACCCTATTGTCACTGTTTCCATCGTCATTGTCCTCAGACGACTCAATGTGGTGCTCAAAGATTTGAACATGTCAGCTAGGGTAAGAACGGGCTCATTTCGACGCCCTGATTCTTCTGAAGTTGTTGACGACATGCTTTCTTTAGAGGCTTCAGTCCTTGGGTCTCTTGATGTGGTTAAACTAGTACGATAGCCTCTTTTTCCTCATGATCTAATTGAATGGGCTTAGTGGCAACATGGGCGCAAGGCATTGTTCGTCTCTGTCGTGAACTTCGATGGGTTGGTTTACTTGTAGAGACGAAGACTTGCTCTTGCCGATCTTACTCGTGTTTAGACGGTAGATCTGAAAATTTTGCAAAAGATCCCAGACATGTTAATCACACTCTAATAATGAAATTTACCAAAATTCAATCAATCATAATATTTTTAGGAAAATTTTCATTGTCAATCAATTTCACAATTAGCTTAAAATCATCAAGATAATCATAAAAATTTCAGTTAGATGTTTGCTCACAATTAATTCAATTAATTTATCAAATTAAAATGTGAGTGTCTAATAGTACAATTTTATACTAATCAATTATGAATCATATCCTAACCAAAATTGACACTTGCAATAATTGCATGCAAAAGCATATTTCAAATCAGCCATAATCTGAAATTGTCCATGTAGATATAAAGATATGTGCATGCCAGAATCGAGAATGTAATATAATTTTTAAAATTTTTCTTCTAAATATTCATATGATGACTCTTTTCAGTTTTCTTTTAATTTATGATCTTTTCAATTCATGGAGTTAACTTTCACACAATTATAGGAAGTAGGTTTTTTCTCATAATTTATGTTTACTATTAAGAATGGCTTCACACATCTATGGTGGTAGCCCTCTCCTCCAATGAACTTGTCTATTTGCACACCATCATATTATAGTGTAGAGAGACATATATACTAATCATATGTCTACATTCAAACATATGCCGCATTAAAGTGACAAACTGGTCAGTAAATGTTTACAATAGAAGTAGTCACAATGTTCTAATAATGTACTTATTTGATAATAATTTATCATAATTTATTTTGAGCACACCACACTGATTGGAGATTTCAATTTCATTTTAATAACTACAAATCAATCAGATATCCACATCTTGTGTCATTGCAATAAACACCCCAATTTTTATTTTTATTTTTTCGATTTTTTGTTCTTATAAAAACGCAAAATACATCAAACAAGGTGAACACACAAAATAAAGTAATATATATATATATATAAAGAGTTTTTAATTAATCATACATATGCCCACAGTTTTCCACAAAATTTCAAATCAACCAGTATCTAAAGCTTAGTGAGTACATCTGCCAATTGTCCTTCAATGTGAATGTGTTCTAGGACAATTTTATCCTTCGACTAAGTCGCTAACGAAGTGATGATGAATATATCAATATGCTTAGTCATAGAACACTGGACTAAATTCTTAGAGATGTTTATAGTACTGGTGTTATCATAGAACATGATAGAGAATCTTGTTCAATACCAAAGTCACTAAACATCTGCTTCATTCAAAGTAGCTTTACACAACAACTATCGACAATGATGTACCCAGCTTCTATATTAGAAAAGGAAATAGAGTTTTGTTTCTTATTTAGCTAAGAGATAAGATCATTACCTATGTAGAAACAGCCTACAAATGTGTTTTCTGTCATCCAAGTTCCTTGCCAAATCAGCATCACTTTACTTGCAGTTTTAGTTGATATCTTGTCCACACTCTAACACTGAAGGCTATGTTACGATAACTTGGAATGAGATAGCAAGCTACCAGTCATGCTCTTTTATAGGCTAGGGTCAATGTCCTTGTCCTGATTATCTCTGTAGATCTTTACAGATATAGCCATGGAAGTCCTGACTGCCTTAATGTTTTTCAGGCTAAATTCCTTTGCGAGATTCTTTACATACTTAGCCTACAAGATAAAGATCTCTACATGAACTCGCTTAACCAGCAAACCCATAAAAATTAACCGTTCATCAACTATACTCAATTCAAACTCATCTTGCATAAGATTGATAAACTTCCTGGGTTTTTTTTTTTAGTGGGTTCAATACTATATCATCCATATATATTTGACCCATGATTAATTTGTCTTAAGATGTCCGATGAGCAATGTTTTATCAGCTCTTCCTCACTTGTATCACTTCTCTAGTATGAATATAGTATGTCTTTCATACCAAGATTGGGGAGCTTTTTTCAGCTTATATAATGTTTTTTTAAGCTTGAACATGTGGTCAAGAAGATATGGATCAATTAAACCTTTTGATCGCTCAACGTAGGCCTCTTTATTTAAAATTCCAATCAGAAAGGCACTCTTAACGTCCATCTGAAAGGTTCGAATCTCGATTGACATGCAATATACAATAAAAGTCTAATAGATTGAAGTCGGGCTATAGGAACGAAAATCTCTTCAAAATCTACTCCTTCAACTTGGGTATAACCCTGTGCAATCATCTTTTACGTTGTTTGTTGTTTTGCTCATTTGATTTGTTCTTGAAGATCCATTTAGTTCAAATAACATTTGTACATGTTGGCCATGGTACTAGTTCCCATACATTATTTCGCTCAAATTGAGCTAATTCTTGGCATAGCTAACACCCACGATTCATCACTAAGTACTTCAATCACAGTTTTTGGTTCAATATATGACACGTAGCATACATTCTCGAGTTTTGTGACAAGTCTTGATCTGGTCATCATTCTATCTCCTCGATCAGAGAGCATATTGTGTAGATAATACGCCTTTTGAATCCAAGTAGGAGGCTACCTTCTATCCTACGATTCACTGTCTTTTTCAAGTATATTACCACTAATAGTAGCTAGTTCAGAATTGCCAAAACCAAGTATTGGAGGAACTGTCTGACTGTTATTTTCAAAGTCTGTCGCACATGTTTCCTAAGTAGTCAGAGTAGTTTCAAACTGTTCCTCCGAGTTCTAAATCTTAGGTTCTTGTGAATAAGAATAATAATCATCAGTATCATTCAACGATAGTTTGAGTCCTCATATTGTACAATTTATAAGCTTGATTGTTTTTTGAATAGCCAATGAACCCTCCTTTATCACTCTTAGGATCAAATTTCTTCCAATGTTCCCCGTCATTTAACACATAACTAAAAATACAAAAGTACTTAAGATTTGGTTTCCTACCTCTTTAGATTTCATAATGTGATTGTAAGGCACCAATTCTTAAGAATACACACAGTTTAATATAGCAAGCAGTATTTACAACTTCAGCCCATAATTTAATAGGCAATTTCTTACAATTTAGCATTATCCTAGCCCTTTTTTGTAATGATACATTCTTCCTCACAATAACACCATTCTATTCGGGGTTTTAGGAGCAGAAAATCCATAAAAAAATACCATACTTTTCATTTAGAAAATCTGGCATTCTCAAACTCCTTACCATGATCACTCCTAATTCTTATAATTTTAGTCCTATTCAGGTGTTTTTCAATGGTCAATTTTTGTATGAGAATGTAAGTATTTCAAGGACATCAGATTCCTCAGTTAAGAAGTCTGCCAAAGTAACCATATAGTTATACCTCTTATAACCGAGGCTTTCAGTTTGAATTGACCCTATCAAATCCATATGTAGCAATTCAAGAGAAACTGACCTTGTTTATCAGAAATTCTAGTTTTTTTACCTTTCTAGCATGAGCTACGCATACTTTTAGGTTTTTCTCTGACTTTAAGAGCTCCTCTTACCACACCAAGTTTAGTAGGTTTGACAAGATTTCCATAGTTTAGGTCTCCAAACCATTTGTGCTACAGATCTGTAAAATCAACTTTTGAGACATAGCTTGTAACTTCATATTCAAGCAAATAACACTTATCACTTGACCTACCTGTTGATCCCAAAGGCGATGCAAGAATTGAGATTAATGACGTTGTATGAAATATGTACACAAAATCCCAAAGATGAAACAAGATTTAAAGTAAAGAAATCGAAGAAAGTTAAACAGAGGAAATGATGTTTTATTATAACAATCTATGGAGAAAATTACAGCACAACAATTTTTATTTGAACTAAAGTGAAAGAAAAGACTAGTATTTATAGGTACATACCATACCATAAAGATGGAAATAATATAAAAAGTAAAGTGGAATTAAGAAAATAATATTTTTCCAATGAAATCATGTGAAAATAACAATATTTTCCAATAAAATCACGTGAAAGTAAAGAAATAATATTTTCCAAAAAATTCTCCCTAATTTAGGGCACAAAAATCTAATAATCTCCATCTTGACCTAAATTTCGGTGCAACGAACGAAGCTCCAAAATTTCTTCACTTGAGAAATAAGTCTGTCTTCATCGAAATAGCCAAACTCCTCAACACAATAACCAAAAGTCTCCATCACCAAAAGTATCTTCCTCTGCAAGGCATCCACAGGCGACACCTGAACCCTACTCTTGGGTTCCCAAAATTCCACCTAAGAATTACTGTTAACCAAACAAGGTCGAAGCACACACTTTAGTAGAAACCACACCAAATACCTGATATACTAACATGTAAAAGAAAAGTGATTAGAGGGGGTATGTGTTATTCAAATCTTAAAATAAGGGAGGCTTGTGTAATTTCGTAACTAGAGAGGTTGTCCTTGAAATTGTCATAAATTTTAGTGGAGTTATGTGTTATTTAAAATTTGAAATAAGAGATATTAATGTAATTTTTTAGAGATGTCTCTAAAATTGTCACTAACTTAAATGGGATATATACATTATTTAAAACATTAACACAAGGAAGGTTTGTGTACATTTTAAAAATGGAGGGAGTGTCTCTCTAATTTTCATAAACCTCAGGGAGCTTTTTGTAATCTGCTAATAAATCCCAATTATAGGTAATTATATATTAATTTTAAGTTGAACAATAATAACTTATATAAAAATTATTATATTTATTTTTAATTTTTTTTTCTTTGAAAAAAATTCACTTAGAAAATCGACAACTAAGAATTTTTGCTTGTCCGTTTGCGATGTTGGCAAACACATCAAGTGAAATGTTATCCATATTTTTAATACCTTATTAATTCATAAAAGTTTATATATTATTCTTGGAGTTCAAAGAATTGAAGATAATAAAATTATACAAATCTCATAATAGATTACTATATCATAAAGAGCACTTTATAGAACATAATAAATTCTAACAATTTATATTTAACGTACGTAAAATGTTACACAATGTGATATAGAGGGTATAGTTTGTTAATCTTATTTAAGATACATGCAAAAAAATAATAATAATAAATAAATAAATAATTGTTCCTTTGTCTTTTATTATTAATTAGTTGTTCTTTAAATTCAAGAACATTATCTATTTTTACGTAGCTCGAATAGCAAGTCGTGTGAGGGTTAAATGTCTGTTTAATTTCAAGGGCAGTAATGATGAGAAAAAACAATTCATTATGGTGCAAGTTTGTTATCTCTTGATTCCATCATAGAGTAAATTTTGGAAAAGAAAAGTGAAAAGAATATTAATTAGAACAAAAAGCTTTCTATAATGGTTATAACATAGAATGATTATTGACATAAAAAATGCTAAATATATTCCCACCACAATTTTTAATAACTAGACTACATTTTAATTGTATAAAAGGTACATAACCTTTACATATTATTACATTTATCTCTCAATTTTTTTCATCACATTCTTATTTTCAAATTAACATAAATTGTTTCTGATTATGGTTTCTCTCAAATTTTTTATTTTTTTTCTTTTATTTTTTTAAGATAGAGTCAAATGTCTCATTTGTCGATTGTATTTTTGAATAAACAAAATAAATAATATTTTATAATTATTTTAAAGCAGGTTAATAATATTTTTGAAAACAAATCACGAATGAGGACAAAAAAAAAATTGATTAATGAAATGCTAAAAATAAGAATGCGATGAAAAAAAAAATTTAAGAATATAATTGTGACAATGAATAAAAGTTAATGACCTTATATGTAATTTATCAAAATATGTGGTGTGAGCATGACCACCCTAAAAAGAAGAGCATTTTACTTTGGCTTGATTGAGTGTAAGAGTATATGCTATATCAAGCATTGCCGACATCAATTAGTAGTGTCCATTTCAATGCCATGATTCATTAAAATATGTGGTGTGAACATGACCACCCCAAAATGATTTTTATGAACATATTCACATGTAACATGTGAAACTTGCAAGTATTGTCTAAATCAAATAAAGCTTTTATGTCGTGTGTGAATGGAATTATTATATTTGGCAAGCAATAGTAATCAAAACACAACCATAAAATAGAGAAATTTGTAATTTTTCCTTCTCGTTTGTACTAAGAAATTTATTAAACTAACTATTTGATAATACGCGGCATCACTTTTACACTTTTTGAACATTCTAATATCTCACCTACACTTGTTTGTGGAATTTGGGGCCGCCATTGTGCAATGGAAACATATTTGTGAGGAAAAAGGAAGTCTCTAATTTTATTCTTTATTGACTCAATATTATGAAGTCTCCTCTCAAACGCGGCAATTCAAATCTTCCATCTTTAGTTTAGATTTAAGGACCACTTGGAAATTTTGCCACCATACTTTCTCAAGAACACAAGATACAACCATTTTCATTATCACACAAATTTACTAGTTGGAATTTTGAACCAGAAATTTTGCTACCATCTGTAACAGTTCGACAGAAGGTCCATGGATCCAATGACTTCAACAATATCATACAAATCTGCTGTTGATACAACCTATCATTGGCATCATAGACCAGTTAATCTGCTAATTTTCGACAGTGGTGAAAGAGAAATAACTCGATATCTAGAAGCTGTCGACAGAATCCAGCAGTCCCCCACGAACGGAACAGAATCTGGTGACCTGAACTCCATAGCCATGGCTCGGCTCAAGCACGAGTTTCTGAAAGTACTCATAGCACAATCAAATCCGTTTGGCACTGTTGATTCAACTACCTCTGATTGGAGTTCATTAGCCAGTACTGGACACGATGATTATTTAACGGTAGACAATTTACCGAGTGACGAGGCGATTTTTTATCTCAGGCAAGTTGCGGAAAGATTAAATTCTGGAGGACACCTTGGAGATTGCATCGAACTTTACAAGAGAGTGAGGAAATACTTTTTCCACACTATGATAATACGGCTTCGCTTGAAAGAATTGTATATAGGTGGGGTTGCAAAAAGTGCCTTCAAGAAAAAGAGGTTTCTATGGCAAGAGTTGAAGGTGAAAATTGAAATGTGGATTCGAGTGGCTAGGGTGTGTTTTTGTTTCTTCTTTGACTTGGAGAAACAAATTAGTGAGAAATTATTCTCTGGTTTTGGAAATGGGGCTAGTGAAGAATGTTTTTGGGAAATAGTTGGAGATTCTGCAAATAATTTACTTGTTTTTGCAGAAACAGTGAGTTCCATTAACCAGTCCCCAGAGAGGATGGGAACAATTTTAGTCCTATATGATACACTGTTGTTTCTTTTACAATACATTGATACCCTGTTCGACTTCGACGCAGCAGAGGCTATTCAAAACGGCGTGAAGGTGACAGTGTCTCAACTCGAGAATAATATAAGAAAAATGTTATTGGATTTTGAGAAAGCTGTTTTTCGTGAGCTTTCAACGATACAAGATGATAGGGGTGCCATTCATCCATTGACGAAACGTGTGATGAATTATATCTCTCTCATTGTAAGCAATAAGAAGCTCCTCACCGACTTGATCATATCAATGCCACCAATGAAATTTGAGGATCAACTGATTCCCGAAGGAGAATTGGGGGATCTTAAAGGCAGAAGTCATTTGGCTCTTCATTTGATTTTGATCATTGTGGTTTTACAACTGAATTTGAAGGGGAAATCAGAGCAGCTCAAACATGTTCCTTTAAGGCATTTGTTCATGATGAACAATGTTCATTACATTGTAGAAAAAATTGAAGAATCCAAGGAGCTGCGAGAGATTATTGGCAATGATTATATGGAGAAACTGAATACGAATGTTATGCAAGCAATGACTAGCTATCAGGTTTCAACTTGTGACAAGTTCTTGTCTTGTTGTCGAGAAGAGGGACTTTATGTTACTTGGTGCTTTTCTACTCAGGTTTCAAAACGTGCATTGAGAAAAAGATTGAAGGCCATTAATTCCATGATTGAAGAGATTCAGACACTTCACACAAAATGGATAGTATACGATTCAGAGATCCTGAATAAACTTCGTGCGTCCATGGTTGACAAGTTGATTCCAGCATGCAAGAAATTTCATGCTGAAGTTCAGAAGCACAGGGAAACACACAAGAAATACTTTCAGAAAATAAATATAAAGCACTCAGTCGAGTATCTGGAGGCCTTGGTCTCAAAGAATCTGTTTTCAAATTATGAAATTATTGTTTAAGAGAAGGTATTGGCAAGCTTCGAGTCCTAGAATTCCTCTATTGTTGAGTGTAGGTGTAGCAACCTTCTTACGGAGCAGAATGATAGTCTAGACTTCCTAGACTTGAATTTCAAATAGATCATATATATGAATAATCAGATAGTTGTTAAACACTTATAAATATTACATAAATTATCTATTATGTCATTATATTTGTCACCTATTTTTTGGCAAGGTAGCATATTCATTTACGATCTCTGTCTATCTATGATTGTACATTATGTGTTAGGGTTTTGATCGTGCATTGACATGTTTGGACGTGACAATTAGATAGTGCTGGACAATATTAAAAGTACTAAGAAAAGCTCAAATCTTGTCAATTATGCATCTATCACTTGAAAATTCCTCAGATTCCTTATCACTACATATGAAGCTTCCTAACAAAACGCGATAATGGAAGTCTTCCTTTGGGCACCCACATGATAATTTCCAATCTCTTACCTGGAAAATCAATGGTTGAATTTTTTAGCACCAAAAAACAACTCTCTCATGTTTCAATTTTTATTTAAGTGATAAAAAGAAAAAAGAAAAATCCATCCCTGTTTGTCTAATCTCTTGAGCCAATTTTACTTTCTTTTTATTCAATCTGTTGTCATCTTCAACCATGGCTGAAGCAATTATAATGTAATCTTAACACAATTGGCTGAAATCATGGAAGAATAGATCTGACAGCAGGTGAATTCACTCCACTGTTCTCCATTCCTCTTTTGTCCTTGATCTCCAAGTTGAATTCACTCAAGAGAAGTATCCACCGTATTAATCTTGGTTTTGCCTCCTTCTTTGTCATCAAATAACGCAGAGCTGCATGATCAGAATAAACAATGACTTTAGTACTAAGTAAATATGGAAGAAATTTTTCTGACGCAAAAACAACAGCTAAGAGTTCTTTTTCAGTCGTGGAGTAATTTCTCTGAGCTTCATTTAGAGTCTTGGAAGATTAGTAGATGGCATGTGAAGCATTTTCAATTCTTTAACCCAACACTGCGCCTACTACAAAGTGACTTGCATCACACATTATCTCAATGAGAAAGTTCCAATCGGGAGGTTGCATAATCGGTGCTGACGTCAACAGATCCTTCAGTGTATCAAATGCCTTTTTGCAATCCTCATAGAACTTAAAAGCCACGTCCTTTTGTAACAATTTGCATAAAGGCAATGCTATTTTGAAGAGGTCATTTATAAACCTGCATGTCCAAGGAAAGAACGAACTTTCCGCACATTAGCGAGGTAAGACAGAGATTTTATAATATAAATTTTGGCTTTATCAACCTCAATACCCTTAGATGAAATGACATGCCCTAGAACTATACCTTGTTCAACCATAAAATAACATTTTTTAGAATTTAGTACAAAGTTGGTTTTCATGCATCTTTTAAGGACTAGTGCAAAGTTATGCAAATAGCTATCAAATAAGTCTCCCTGGACTGTAGAGTCATCCATAAAGACTTCTATAATATGCTCAATATAATCTGAAAATATACTAACCATACACCGTTGAAAAGTAACCGGAGCATTACAAAGGCCAGAAGGCATGCGACGGTATGCAAAGGTTCTAAATGGGCATGTGAAAGTTGTCTTTTCTTGATCCTTTGGGGCAATTGCAATTTGGAAATAACCTAAATAGCCATCAAGAAAGCAATAGTAAGAATGATCAGCTAACATTTCAAGCATTTGATCAATAAAAGGCAAAGGGAAGTGATCCTTGCGGGTTACAGCATGTAATTTTTTATAATTTATACAAACCCATCAACCATTTTGAACACGGATGGTAACCAATTCATTGTTCTTATTCTTCAGCACAGATATCCAGGTCTTCTTAGGAACCACTTGAACGGAACTGGCCCAACTGCTGTCAGAGATAGGATAAATTACTCCAACGTTCAAAAGCTTGAGAATCTCTTGCTTTACTATGTCCATCATGGATGGGTTCAAACTCTTTTGAGGTTGACGGATAGACCTTGCTCCTTCTTCATGTAGAATGCGATGCAGATAGGTTGATGGACTAATTCATTTGATGTCTGCAATTTTCCATCCAATAGCTGTGCGATGTTTCCTGAGAACCTGCATCAGTTTTTCTTCCTATGTTGCATTTAGAACTATACCTTGTTCAACCATGAAATAACATTTTTTAGAATTTAGTACAAGGTTGGTTTTCATGCATCTTTTAAGGACTAGTGCAAAGTTATGTAAACAGCAATCAAATAAGTCTCCCTGGACTGTAGAGTCATCCATAAAGACTTCTATAATATGCTCAATGTAATCTGAAAATATACTAACCATACACCGTTTAAAAGTAGCCGGAGCATTACAAAGGCCAGAAGGCATGCGACGATATGCAAAGGTTCTAAATGGGCATGTGAAAGTTGTCTTTTCTTGATCCTCTGGGGCAATTGCAATTTGGAAATAACCTAAATAGCCATCAAGAAAGCAATAGTAAGAATGACCAGCTAACCTTTCAAGCATTTGATCAATAAAAGGTGAAGGGAAGTGATCTTTGCGGGTTACAACATTTAATTTCCTATAATTTATACAAACCCATCAACCATTTTGAACACGGGTGGTAACCAATTCTTTATTCTGATTCTTCACCATAGTTATCCAGGTCTTCTTAGGAACCACTTAAATGGGACTGACCCAACTGCTGTCAGAGATAGGATAAATTACTCCAACATTCAAAAGCTTGAGAATCTCTTGCTTTACTACGTCCATCATGGGTGGGTTCAAACTCTTTTGAGGTTGGCGGGTAGACCTTGCTCTTTATTCATGCAGAATGTGATGCATACAGGTTGATGGACTGATTCATTTGATGTCTACAATTGTCCATCCAATAGCTGTGCAATATTTCTTGAGAACCTGCATCAGTTTTTCTTCGTGTGTTGCATTTAGTTCGTTTGAGATTATCACAGGCAACGTGTTTTCATCTCCAACGAACACATATTTGAGGTGATTAGGGAGAGGCTTCAAATCTGGAGTAGAAGCTTGCAAAACAGAAGTATGAGTTTTTCATTAAAAACTGGTAGAGCAGCATATGAATCATTACATGTTTGTTGTAACTTTGGAAGACTGTTCAGTGCTACAACAGTTTCTCCCAATTCAGGGCTTAAAGTCAATTCTCCACTCTCCTTTTCAACATGATTACTAATAGCAACCTCCAATTCATCCTTTCTATCAAGTTCAAAAACATTCTGTTCCAAGCAATCAATCAAATCAATAAAGTAAACAACATTATCTTCACTAGGAAATTCCATGGCATCATAGATATTGGATTTAATTATTTCACCATCAAATTCCATAGTCAGTATGCCACATTCCATAGTCAGTATGCCACTGTGTACATCTATTTTCGTTTTGGATGTTTTTAAGAATGTCCTTCCTAACAAAGTGGGACTAGTTTAGTCACCATTTTTCATGTCAAGTACATTAAAATCAGCAAGAAAAATCAATTCATTAACCTTTACAAAGAATCCTCAATCATTCCCCTAGAATAGGCATTTGATCTATCAGTTAATTGAATGACTACACCAATTTTAACTAAGGGCCTTAATTTCAAAGAAGCATACATGGAATATGGCATGACGTTTATAGAAACTCCTAAGTCTAGCACGGCCTTTTCAAACTTAGTGCCACCTATCGTGCAAGGGATAGTAAACATACCTGGATCCTTGCTTTTTGCAAAAAGTTTCCTTTGAATGACTAGAAAGACATTCTCCCCAACTTTCACTTTCTCCCACCCTTTGAGTTTCTATTTTCTTTTAAGTGTACACAATTCTTTAAAAAATTTAGCATAGCGAGATACTTGTTTAATAGCATCTAACAATGGAATTTTTACCTCACATTTACGAAAAGTTTCAGTTCGCTCTTTGGTTCATCTTTCTTAGATTCTGTTAAAGCCCGGGGAAGATAGGGTACTGGCATATCATCACCGTTGGAAGTACCTTTGTTTGCGATGGCATCTTCCTCTTTTCCTTGTTCTAATGATGTGGAGACTGCCTTCATCGGTGCTTCAACCTCTTTGCCACTCCTTAACACAATTACACTTGCATTTTCCCTTAGGTTCACAACTGTTTGAGAAGGTAATTTCCTCGAGTTTTGAGGTCCCAGCTGGTTAATTGCAATTGTCATTTGACCCATCTAATTCTCCAAACTTTGAATGCTTGCCCTTGTCTCTTGCTGAAATTATTTTGTCTCTTGTTGAAATTGTAAAGTGTTAGTGGCGAGAGACTTAACAATATCTTCTAAAGATATACCAGACTTAGAAGTTTGGCCCTGTTGTTGTCTAGGAAGATATGGCTGCTTATTTTGCTGGAAATTTGGGTGATTTTGTTGCATAGGTCGGCTCACTTGTAGGTGTTAGAGTAGGGATCATAACTCTTTTGTGGTTGTCAAGGAAAGCCGCCCATTATATTAACTTGTTCATTGGGGTTTTCTTGAAGAGTTCGGCACATGTCAGTTGGATGCTCTGTCACTGAACAAATTCCACAGCCCTCACTGTTTGCATATTACCTGCAGTCATTTGTCGAACAAGAGTAGTTAGGCTCAAAATCTATTGTTCAAGGGATGAGATATTTACCTTATTGATAGGTCTCCTCATTGACAAGTTTAGATGGACTGTCAAGCCTAGTAGCAAATTGTTGAGAGTTGGCTATCATGTTTGCAATCAAGATCCTTGCGCCCTCAAAAGTTTTATCTACCAAAGCTCATCCACTTGCAGTACCATCATACTCCCATCAATAGGCAGAAGTCCTTCATAGAAATATTGAATGAGAAGTTGTTCGCTAGTCTGATGGTAGGGGCAACTTGCACATAATTTCTTTAACCGTTCCCAATATCCATGCAAAGATCCTCTATTGTCCTACCTTATGCCACAGATCTCCTTTCGAGTGTTAGGTGCCTGTGAAGCTGAAAAATATTTTTCGAAGAACATCCTCTTCATCTCTTCCCATGTTGTAATACTTCCAGATGGTAGATAGTATAGCCAATCCATGAGGGAAAATGGAAATGCTCTCTATTTGATTTGCTCTTCAGTTACTCCAGTAGGTTCTATGCTTGTACAAACCACGTGAAATTCCTTTAGATGTGTTTGAAGATCTTCATCTGCAAGACCATGAAAAGTAGGCAAAAGATGTATTAGTCAAGATTTAAGTTCAAAAGTAGTAGCATCATCTAAAGTAAGAAAGATGATGCAGAGAGGT